AACTGTTGATGCTACCGAGGAGGCCGAGAAAGCTGTCGATGAGCTCCTGAGCGTGGCATTGAATGCCGCCAAAAAAAAAGGAATTTTTGCTTTCCGATGTGCATGCCACAGCATGCAGCTCTGCATTGGCGACATCGCTAAGCATGAATACATGAACGAAATTAGCACCTCAGTAATACAGCTCGCAGCAAAGTACAGAAAGCCCTCGGAAAAGTATGATTTGCGGCAAAAACAGATCAACGCCGGCGAAAGAAACCCTGTTGGCGTCAGGTATCCAACTGCAGTGCGTTGGAACAGTGTCTACGACACTGCGCTGAGCATTGCGCGTGTCTATGACAAGGACTCCACATACCTTCCCGACGTTACTGCAACGTTCCGCCGCCAGCTCTCCTTTTTTTTGCATGCCCTGGCCCCCTTCGCAATTGCAACCGACAAGCTACAGAAGAACTCCGGAAACGGTCTTCTCGAGCTCCACGAGATTATCGACGGTATTGCGTTGGACCTGGCACGTCTCAAAGCTCGCTACTCACAGTGCCCGAGTGAACTTAGCGTAATCAACAGAGCCATTGAGAAATGGTCCTACAGGGTCAAACGGAACTTTTCTTTCCCAGCACTCGACGTGCTAAAATTACTGCATCCGAACGTCGATCAGACGGCCGACGAGGTGACAAGTGCAGTGAGAGCAAAGCGATGGAAGCTGCTCTCTCGGCATCTGTCACCTTTTATTGCCCGAAGAATACCCGACAGCCGGGCATTGGGATCTTTCCTAATGCAGTCCAAGGCAGCGTACAGTGAGTTCCGGAACAGGCCTCGAGACCAGCACGGACACCCGATCAAGCACGGGTATGTACACTTCTGGACCAATCATGAGTTGGCCATGCGTGACGAGAGCGAGTTTCTCAGTCTGTTTGCAAGAACGCTGGGAAGAGCAACGACCAGCGAAGCCGCTGTCGAGCGGCACTTCAAAACTCTGTCTGCCGTTATTGGAAAACTGAGGGCAAAGCTCTCGGTTGAGAACGTGAACGCGTCCCTCACACTTGCCATCAACCATAGGTTGCTGAACAGTGAGCTCTATCCAGAGTCTAACCAAGAGGTGCGGGCCGAGAAGCGCACACAGCGAGCACAGGCTACGCTTGCAACTGCGCTGCGAACAGGCCCGACTGATGAGCCTTCCATCCCGAGCCCGGGACCTACCTGTGATTCCCTCGATACTGAGTCTCAGGATGAGACACTTGATGGCCTCAACGAGGTCGACCTTGAAGCAAGTGAGGCTCTCGTTGCCGAAACCAGAAGCACAACTCTCACAGAGGTGCTGCAGTTGGATATTCCCGGTATTCCGGAGAGTGACACTGACAGCGAGAACGACGAATGTATCCGGAGTCTTTTCTGATTCTAATTCAGCGAATCCATCATGATTCCATTTTCTTTTCCAATTTCCGCTCTCAACCCCATCTCGTCTTCTTCTTGCTTGGGGGGTGCTGCTTGGCACCGTTGGCCACCATCGTTTTGATGATGTCGAGTCTACCTTTTTCTATCACCCATGTTCCGCTGTTATTCGACCCTGTGGGTCCCGGTACCGCGGCCGGACTCTTTGTCTTCCGTTTTTATTTTTCTCCGAGGGCTAACCTGCAGATACCGAGAAAAAGGTGAACCTTGGGTTGAGCCCCAGAAGGTCAAAATGGTGGTTGAAAATGTGTCTCCACAGTCGGGCAAGTCGTCAAAAAACCCCAACTGGCGGAATTGATAATTTCACCGGCGCGGTAGTGGAACGTGGAAATCCGTGGAAATTTCCACGATTTCCATTTCCACGTGGATCCACGTCCCGAACCCTGGGACCCCCGAAGAATTCGGACCCGAAGAATTCGGACCCGAAGAATTCGGACCCCCGAAGGATTCGGACCCCCGAAGAATTCAGACCCCCGAAGAATTCGGACCCGAAGAATTCAGACCCGAAGAATTCGGACCCCCGAAGAATTCGGACCCCCGAAGAATTCGGACCCCCGAAGAATTCGGACCCCCGAAGAATTCGGACCCCCGAAGAATTCGGACCCCCGAAGAATTCGGACCCCCGAAGAATTCGGACCCCCGAAGAATTCGGACCCCCGAAGAATTCGGACCCCCGAAGAATTCGGACCCCCGAAGAATTCGGACCCCCGAAGAATTCGGACCCCCGAAGAATTCGGACCCCCGAAGAATTCGGACCCCCGAAGAATTCGGACCCCCGAAGAATTCGGACCCCCGAAGAATTCGGACCCCCGAAGAATTCGGACCCCCGAAGAATTCGGACCCCCGAAGAATTCGGACCCCCGAAGAATTCGGACCCCCGAAGAATTCGGACCCCCGAAGAATTCGGACCCCCGAAGAATTCGGACCCCCGAAGAATTCGGACCCCCGAAGAATTCGGACCCCCGAAGAATTCGGACCCCCGAAGAATTCGGACCCCCGAAGAATTCGGACCCCCGAAGAATTCGGACCCCCGAAGAATTCGGACCCCCGAAGAATTCGGACCCCCGAAGAATTCGGACCCCCGAAGAATTCGGACCCCCGAAGAATTCGGACCCCCGAAGAATTCGGACCCCCGAAGAATTCGGACCCCCGAAGAATTCGGACCCCCGAAGAATTCGGACCCCCGAAGAATTCGGACCCCCGAAGAATTCGGACCCCCGAAGAATTCGGACCCCCGAAGAATTCGGACCCCCGAAGAATTCGGACCCCCGAAGAATTCGGACCCCCGAAGAATTCGGACCCCCGAAGAATTCGGACCCCCGAAGAATTCGGACCCCCGAAGAATTCGGACCCGAAGAATTCGGACCCCCGAAGAATTCGGACCCCCGAAGAATTCGGACCCCCGAAGAATTCGGACCCCCGAAGAATTCGGACCCCCGAAGAATTCGGACCCGAAGACGGTCCGAATCCTTCGGGTCCGAATTCTTCGGGTCCGAATTCTTCGGGTCCGAATTCTTCGGGTCCGAATTCTTCGGGTCCGAATTCTTCGGGTCCGAATTCTTCGGGTCCGAATTCTTCGGGTCCGAATTCTTCGGGTCCGAATTCTTCGGGTCCGAATTCTTCGGGTCCGAATTCTTCGGGTCCGAATTCTTCGGGTCCGAATTCTTCGGGTCCGAATTCTTCGGGTCCGAATTCTTCGGGTCCGAATTCTTCGGGTCCGAATTCTTCGGGTCCGAATTCTTCGGGTCCGAATTCTTCGGGTCCGAATTCTTCGGGTCCGAATTCTTCGGGTCCGAATTCTTCGGGTCCGAATTCTTCGGGTCCGAATTCTTCGGGTCCGAATTCTTCGGGTCCGAATTCTTCGGGTCCGAATTCTTCGGGTCCGAATTCTTCGGGTCCGAATTCTTCGGGTCCGAATTCTTCGGGTCCGAATTCTTCGGGTCCGAATTCTTCGGGTCCGAATTCTTCGGGTCCGAATTCTTCGGGTCCGAATTCTTCGGGTCCGAATTCTTCGGGTCCGAATTCTTCGGGTCCGAATTCTTCGGGTCCGAATTCTTCGGGTCCGAATTCTTCGGGTCCGAATTCTTCGGGTCCGAATTCTTCGGGTCCGAATTCTTCGGGTCCGAATTCTTCGGGTCCGAATTCTTCGGGTCCGAATTCTTCGGGTCCGAATTCTTCGGGTCCGAATTCTTCGGGTCCGAATTCTTCGGGTCCGAATTCTTCGGGTCCGAATTCTTCGGGTCCGAATTCTTCGGGTCCGAATTCTTCGGGTCCGAATTCTTCGGGTCCGAATTCTTCGGGTCCGAATTCTTCGGGTCCGAATTCTTCGGGTCCGAATTCTTCGGGTCCGAATTCTTCGGGTCCGAATTCTTCGGGTCCGAATTCTTCGGGTCCGAATTCTTCGGGTCCGAATTCTTCGGGTCCGAATTCTTCGGGTCCGAATTCTTCGGGTCCGAATTCTTCGGGTCCGAATTCTTCGGGTCCGAATTCTTCGGGTCCGAATTCTTCGGGTCCGAATTCTTCGGGTCCGAATTCTTCGGGTCCGAATTCTTCGGGTCCGAATTCTTCGGGTCCGAATTCTTCGGGTCCGAATTCTTCGGGTCCGAATTCTTCGGGTCCGAATTCTTCGGGTCCGAATTCTTCGGGTCCGAATTCTTCGGGTCCGAATTCTTCGGGTCCGAATTCTTCGGGTCCGAATTCTTCGGGTCCGAATTCTTCGGGTCCGAATTCTTCGGGTCCGAATTCTTCGGGTCCGAATTCTTCGGGTCCGAATTCTTCGGGTCCGAATTCTTCGGGTCCGAATTCTTCGGGTCCGAATTCTTCGGGTCCGAATTCTTCGGGTCCGAATTCTTCGGGTCCGAATTCTTCGGGTCCGAATTCTTCGGGTCCGAATTCTTCGGGTCCGAATTCTTCGGGTCCGAATTCTTCGGGTCCGAATTCTTCGGGTCCGAATTCTTCGGGTCCGAATTCTTCGGGTCCGAATTCTTCGGGTCCGAATTCTTCGGGTCCGAATTCTTCGGGTCCGAATTCTTCGGGTCCGAATTCTTCGGGTCCGAATTCTTCGGGTCCGAATTCTTCGGGTCCGAATTCTTCGGGTCCGAATTCTTCGGGTCCGAATTCTTCGGGTCCGAATTCTTCGGGTCCGAATTCTTCGGGTCCGAATTCTTCGGGTCCGAATTCTTCGGGTCCGAATTCTTCGGGTCCGAATTCTTCGGGTCCGAATTCTTCGGGTCCGAATTCTTCGGGTCCGAATTCTTCGGGTCCGAATTCTTCGGGTCCGAATTCTTCGGGTCCGAATTCTTCGGGTCCGAATTCTTCGGGTCCGAATTCTTCGGGTCCGAATTCTTCGGGTCCGAATTCTTCGGGTCCGAATTCTTCGGGTCCGAATTCTTCGGGTCCGAATTCTTCGGGTCCGAATTCTTCGGGTCCGAATTCTTCGGGTCCGAATTCTTCGGGTCCGAATTCTTCGGGTCCGAATTCTTCGGGTCCGAATTCTTCGGGTCCGAATTCTTCGGGTCCGAATTCTTCGGGTCCGAATTCTTCGTGGTAAAAAATGCGACCGCCGGGAATCGAACCCGGGTCAAAACCTTGGGAAGGTTCCATCATGCCACTAGACCACGGTCGCTCTGATTCAAAGAAAATCGGAAAACAACAATTTTTCGACCAGGAAAGTTTTCAGCCCCGCTTGCAAGCTCAAAAGTTCCGCCACCGGGAATTGAACCCGGGTCTCCCGGGTGAGAGCCGGGTGTTCTAACCACTATACTATGGCGGATGTAGGGCAAAAACCCGGGGACATCCACCCTAATCCGGGCCCTCAGCGGAATGGCGTTCTTCGCGTTCTTTCGTTCAATTGCCACAGCTGGAAGGTTCGCATGGAATATATACCACCCATTCCACGAAAAAGTGTCACAGATTTCGGCTTTTTTCGGATTTCTGCCGAAAATTTCCATCTGCAGGTCCGAAAATGGTCGGTTTCGAGATTTTGAGGACACGTTTGAGTCCGTTGAGGACAGGGCTTTCCGAATATTTGGTCGGATAAAATTTTTGACCGACCCCCCCCCCGGAAATGGAGGTCGGCACCCGAAAAAATGGGGTCCTGGAGATCGGTTTTTTTTCTCTCTGCATCCAGGAGGGGGTCAGATTTTGATCGCTGGGCTAGCTGGCAGCTTGCCCATAATCGCGCATCCCAGAACTACTCGAAAACCAAAAGATTTCCCAAAAAGACCTCGAAAATAATTTCCAGACGGCTGCTTTTCACACCGAAAAATCGCAAAAAAAAAAAATCGGACCGGGGGAATCGAACCACGGCCTACAGGGGCCCAGGAGGGTGCGGTAACCGTTAGGCTATGTTGCCAAACCTCGGGCCAAAATTCGCTTTTAGCGCCTGCTCAGTTGGAATTCTTATCGGAAAGTGCGAGATCGTCATTTACTCGTTTCCAGTGTCCCAGGACGGTATTTCTGCTCTCTCAGAGCTTATTTCGCCCGGTTTGCGAAGAACTCAAAATGAGTCCAAAAATTCTCACTCGGTAGTGAACAAAAAAAATTCCGCCGTTTTTTTAGCCCATGGTCCAGAGGTTACCACACCCACACAGGGGTTTGTGGGTCGGTGGTTCGATTCCCGCCGGAAATCGTTTTTTTGGGTTTTTGAAACAGCCCCAAAACCGACCTTTTGTCCATCTGCACGCCAGATTTTGGTCGCCACGCGAGCTGATTGCTTGCCCATAATCGCCAGGGATAGCTCTTTCCATCCCAAAAAAAATTTCCCAAAAATTCCAAAATTTTGACCCAAAACGGGCTGCTTTTCAGACGGAAAATCTGTGACACTTTTTCGTGGAATGGGTGATACTCCACTTGTTGACGATACATGATGTGGACGTTTGCCTACTCCAAGAAGTCCTGCTGAAGCCATCTGATTCGGTCATAGTACCGGGGTATCGCGTCGAGAGGCGAGATAGGACTGTACCGAGGAACTGTATGTCGCCTTCATCAATAGCCGCTGGTGGACTCCTGACGCTGGTTCGAGAAGGCGTGGTCTACGAGCGGAAGGTTGATTTTGCCCTTACTGGTGTCGACGACCCGACCGAGCGGCTCGACATCCTAGTAACGCTATCTGACAACTCGCCACTCCGACTGGTCAATATCTATCGGCCTCCAATCATGCGACGCAATCCAGGCGAGACACGAACCGACCGTTTCGACCCGGCCTTCCTACCCACCGTCGACGCCGTTGTCGCGGGAGATTTCAACATGCACCATCCCATGTGGGAAGTCCACTCAGACGAAGCTGACACCAAGAGCCGCTCCTTTGCAGAATGGATCCTAAACTCCGACCTGGTCTGCCTAAACGACGCCACCGTGCCCACACGTCCCTGCTCCAAAACATCACCGGACATATTCCTTGTCCCAGCTCAATTTGAACAATCCGGTTGGAGGACGCTTCCCACAGGTAAATCGGACCACGCCCCTATGTTGGTTTCACTCGTATATGGGTCCTGCCCAGCAGCGCAAGGAGTAGCGAAACCCTTCCATTGGGCGAAGGCAGATTGGGACGATTACACAGCTCGCCTCGACAACCTACAACAGCATCTGCAGAGCTTCCGGGACGTCAACAGATTTGCACGCGCCTTTGCCCGAACCATGCGAACAGCAAGAGACAAATGCGTCCCGCGGGAAAGCAAAAGACGAGGTAAGCCCTGGTACAACCCAGAGATAGACGAGGCGATCGCAGCGCGGGACTGCCTCCGCACCCGACTGGCGAGGCTGAAAAGCGCGAACCTCAGTACAACTGAAGCTGAAACATCCGTCGCTTCTGCGCAGGAGCGTGTTGCCACTCTGGTTGCGAACTCGAAGAGAGATGCACTAGCTCGCTCAACTACACACTTGACGCGGCTGTCCTCAACGAAACAAGCCTTCTCCGCGATTCGCCGCTTGGATGGTCGCACCTCAGACCTCTATATCCCGCCTCTGTACGTCAACGGAACGCTGGAGTTCGATGACTCCCGAAAGGCAGATGCAATGGGTAGACACATAGCTAACGTGTGCTCCGGTGCACCGACTCCTCGTCTCAACGACACGTCCGAACACCCCTCGCACGACAAGCCGTTCTCCTCACAAGAGCTTGATAGAGGTATCTCGTCTCTGGAACCAACTACCAGCTGCGGACCGGATGGCATCAACAACCTAATGCTCATCAACCTCGGCACGCAGGCACGGGACACTCTGCTGAGACTGCTCAACCTCTCGTACACCAAGGGTGTAGTGCCTTTCACCTGGCGGGAGGCTCACATGATGATGCTATTGAAGCCAGGCAAGAGTGCGGACCAGCCCGACGCGTACAGGCCAATTGCGTTAACCAGTTGCGTCGCAAAACTCCTAGAGCGCCTCGTCCACTGTCGCCTCTCGTGCCACCTAGAGGGCAAATTGCATCCGACACAAGCAGGGTTTCAGAAAGGCAGATCAGCTGAGGAGCAAATAGCTACAGTCCAGCTCACTCTGCAGGCAGCGCGCGACAGTGGGAAACGCTCGGTGCTCCTGCTCTTTGACATCACGAAGGCCTTCGACAGGGTCGTCAAGAGCATCCTCACTAAAGAGTTGCAGAAGAAAGGAGTGTCGGGCCGCATGCTGCGCTGGATCTGCGAGTTCTTGCGCAAGAGACGGGCGGCCGTCAAGGTCAACGACTCGCTGGGCAGGTTCTACGATCTGGAAAAAGGCGTTCCACAAGGCACAGTCCTCGCCCCGTTGCTGTTCTTGTGCTACATCGACTCTCTCGCCGCTAAGCTCAACAGCATCTTCCCAGAAATAACTCTCTCGCTCTTCGCCGACGACCTTGCCGTTGTGCTGAGCAGTAGCGACCTGAGCAGGCTGAGGGAGCAGGCCCAGGCGGTAGTCAACGCCATTGACGATTGGGCCGCTGAGTTCGCCTTGGACATCTCGTATGAGAAAACGAAACTCATGTACGTCCCTACGACCGCCGACGTGGACATTGAGAAGATCGACGTCCACTTCCCTTCGTCAAGCCGAACCACTATAATCGACAAGGCTAGGATGCTGAATCTAGACCTACATCCGAATGATCTGTTCAATAACAGCCTCACTTTCGACCTCTCAGAAAAAGCACTCAAGGCTTCTGACGATAAGCTCGCATCTCTAAACAACCGTCGCATCGTCGAGTGTAATGGTCTAGGTCCCGCCAACTACAATCACCTGTTAACATGCATAAAGATGTTTCCCCGGGTCCTGATCGCCACCTGTGCCTGCATACCGAATGTGACATCGGCGCGTTTCCTTGGAGTCACTTTTGACAGCAATCTAAGTTTCGAAGCTCACGTAGCAAACGTTCGGAAGCGGTTCAACGCGAGACTTGCAGTCCTTCGTCAACTATCGGGAACGGTCAGGAGCTCACAACTGCACATCTTACGCCCGGTTTACCTCTCGTACGTCCTTCCAGTCCTCACTTATGGAGCAGCAATATTCAGCACCTCGCTCAGACCGGAAACCATGCAGTCCCTCGCGCGAGACCAGAACAGAGCGCTACGCCTCATCTCAGGGCTACCCCAATCCACATCCCTACAAGCGCTACACCTTGAGACTGGCGTATTACCGCTCGACCTCTGCTTCTCGAAACTGGGGGCGATCCTTTACGAAAAGCTCCTGCGGCAGCCTGGTACAAGTGCCCACTCCGTCTGCAAAACGGCCATCACCACGTCACCGACCTGGAGATCAGCTGCTCGAACGCTCGTTGCCGACGCTGGCTTACTTGGCGTAAAACGTCAAAAGCTGCGCTGTAGCCCGTTGCCGCATGACTACCTCGACTCCCCGCTGGTCTCTTTATCCCCATTTGTTGAAGGAGTGTCCAAAAAGAAGTCCGCTGGCACGAACAGGCGACTCACAGAATGCATGATTGCTGGGTTTGGACGAGTGGACTTCTTATTATACACGGATGGTTCCAAATCAGCCACGAAAGACAGGACAGGGAGTGCGTGCTATGTAAAGGTCTCGAATCCGGACCTTCTCAACCCAGCACTGCTGAAAGCCGTACCCCGCGTCGTCCTTGGAAAAGTTCGCTTCCGCATGCTCAAAAAGTCCCCTTGCGAGCTTGTACTGGCCGCTAACGGTGGCACTTTCGCCTCCACATGCAGGGCAGAAATGATTGCACTGCTACTCGCTTCACATGTTCTCTTGCATCTTTCCAAATCAACCAATCTCTCGAGGGCCGTCATCTTGACTGACTCGCAGTCGAATGTACGGGAGCTCTTAAAAGGATCACATGCATTGACGGACTACATCGCGCGCACCGTTCGCTTGCAACTGAACCAAGTTGCACACACCACGAAGGCGGAGATTGGCGTCCAGTACATCCCAGCCCATTGTGGTATAGACGGGAATGAGTACGCAGACTCCATCGCAAAGTATACAACCAGGGACTCCTCCTCGGCAGCCACGCAGCCTGATCCGGAAACCCCTCTAGATTTTCAATCCTCCCGGGCACGCATTATAGAGTTTGTAAAGCACAACTACACAACCAATAGAGACCACAACTTCTTTTTCATAGCCACAGCCGGATCACTCCCGAAGAAACTGCCGGCATCCCTGTCACGACGAGCAGAAGTAGACATCCTGCAACTG